ATCCATCCATCCATCCATCCATCCATCCATCCATCCATCCATCCATCTATTCATCCATTCATTCATCCATCCATCATTCATCTGTCATCTTTACCCACTTGTTCATTTTGGGATCATGGGGGGGGGGGGGGGGGGGTCCCTGGTGCCCATATCTAGCAGTCACTGTGCGAGAGGTGGGGACACCCTGGACAGGAGTCCATCACAGGGACACATAGAGACAAACGAGACAAACAACCAGTCACTCTCTCACTCACACCTAAGGACAATTTAGAGTTACCAATCAGCCTAACATCCATGTTTTTGGTTTGTGGAAGGAAACTGGAGTACCTGGAGTACTTAGGAGTACCTCAAACCTATACATGTATGAAAAGAACATGCAAACTCCACCTAGAGAGGCCCCCGGCCATGCAGGATTCGATCTGGCAACCTTCTCACTGAGAGGCAGCAACTCTACCAGCTGTGCCACTGTGCTGCCCTACCTGAGTTCCTTCAGTTTATTTCAAATTGTTGTCTATCTGTGTGTACAGATAGGAAAGATGGTGGGTATTATTTAGCCTCTTGTTAAAGTTTTGTATGTTTTTTTTTTCTCCACTTTGAATACTTGCTCTTGACTATTTTATATTTAATTGTAAATGAAAGACCTCAACCTATAGATTTTTGACTCCACCCATGGCACTGGCATGTTGTGACTTTAAATAAGTTCCTTATGTTTTTAGCAATGCACCAACAAAATCAATTGGGACTTTTATTTGGTTTAATTTCTCTTTATGTTTATTTGATCAAATAAAAATCAAGGTACATAACATATTAACATGCTGCATTACTTTAAGGATGGCTTTAAATGCATTTTTAAGAAACCCCCCCCCCCCCCCCAACATTTGGTATCAGAAGCCTATAAACATTACTTGAGACGTTAAATGGGATTTAGTTCAAGTTCAAAGTTCTTTATTCTAATTTGCATCATATGTGGTACATGAGGTGAAGCGAAATTGTGTACTCAAGGTCCCAGTTACATCCAAAAATAGCAAAATTATAATAATAAAAAACACTATATAAGGATCTAAGGTCTACCCAAAGATATACACTAAACGAATGTTAAACGATACACTAAAAGATCTAGATATATGCTAAACACTAATAATGTAAAATAACATGGTATATCAAACAGCAGCCCTAACATGAGTCTGTAGTGATTAGATGGGTATATGAATAGAGCAGCATAAAGGCATCAGATCAGCAGCAAGGATAATCAGCAGCATGGATTTTGTGGACAATTAAAAGAAGATATGGTGATATTTATTTAAAAGATGCAACTTTCTTCTAAAACGAATGTTTCTTGTGTCACAACCTATTTTAGCTCCATTCAGGCAGTAATAAGTTCACGATATTTCAGTTATCGAGTGGTAACAAAATCCAGAGCAGAACAACTGAACGACGTTTATTTATTTTGTATTCTTTTTTGCTGTGGATCGAGTTTCCCGATTGTGATTACTTTCTAACTGATGAAACTTACTTTCACACATTGAGATGTAAACTGAGTCACTGTGAAAAGAAATTGTGTAAAAAAAAGTGTAAAGTCACCGTTCAGGTCAGTGAAGCCGATGGAGAAGTTGACTTCTTTTTTGATGGTAGGAAGAGATTCAGAAGGTACCGTTCCTTGTTCGAGACTCTGTGAGGAAGACAGATAAGGGCAGTGTATTTATAGGAGTGTAGAAGCAGTTTCTGTACACAGCCACTGCTGCAAAGTGCCCTGTGAGTTTAATTTATTCCCTGCATGCTCAAACCTACAGTCTTTAAACACAAAACATCAATTTCTAGAAATCAACCTTTTTTTCTGTGCATGAGATAATCTCATAATAATCTCATCAAACAGAAGTATTTTAAAATGAATGGGGTTGGAAAAATCTGATCAATTAGCAGGGCTTTTCCATGATTTAAAAAAATAATAGATTGTGTTCACACTGCTGCAGGTTGCAGTTCAAAGTCTGACGTTAACCAAATCACTAAAGTGGGTGCTAAAATTTGATTTGTGGTGTCATAATTGCTGATAAACTTTTGAATAGAGATATAGATTATCATAATGACTGTAAATATTTTAGTAACACGCAATAATGAGCTCTCATGTAATGGAAAAAAAAGATAAAAAGAGAAAAAATATATGCCTTTAAACCATCTAAATAAAATAAAATATCTTATGGTTGCTGAGTCAAGAGCCTGAACTGACCTGAGTGAGGAGGTCCATCTCCCCCAGCAGGTCACTGAACATGGCATCAATGTCTTCCATCTAAAGAAACAACAAAAGCAAAAACTTTAAATCAACATGAATATTACTGTGTAACAGGCACGAGAGAGAGACAAAAACAAAACACTGAGTTTCACACCATGTATTTAAGAAACAGAAAAACACAAAAGACGATAACAGGAGTGTTAAAGACGACACTGAGTCTCAGGTCTCGTGTTCAACGTGAGAGCCAGATATCATCTGTAATTTTAGAAGTGTTGAAGATGGGTCAGTGCTGCTCAGTTATTTTTGATCTTTTTACAAGTTGGGGGCAATCAATGTATTTTCACAGAATCACCACAAGTAATGACTTCAAATATCTATTTAGTTGCAATATAAACCTCAAGTAGGAGTTTGTGCATCAATAAACAAATGAGATCAGAACATGTAGCATGATTCAGGAATATAAATATAGACATCCAGGTCCTTAAATCAAATATGTCACCTGCTATTCACAGAAAAATGACAGTGGATAACTGGACTCAATAGAATACAACACCATACACCATGAGGGACATTAACAAATGTGTTTTAAGTTAGAGAGAAGCTGCTGAAGCAGAGGAAAATGTAATATGAATGCTTATTGCAGAAGAACTTGCTGAAAAACAGTTGAAATTAACTAAAAACATGCTGAGATGTAGTGGAAATGGAAGAACAAGCCTAAATTAGAAAGCAGAAAGAACACATGTTTGCTGAATTAGGTTAAATAAGTAGAAATGAGCACAAGGATTAGACAATTAACTAAAAAAAAGGCCAGAAATAGCAAAAATATAGTTGAAAAGGAGCTAAATTGTAGCTGAAAGAGCAGAAAAGGTGGAAACTAGCAGAACAAGCTGAAAGGAGCATAACAAGATGAAATTAGCATCAATAAGTTAATTAGGCTGAAAATAGCAAAAATGAACATGAAAAACTTGAATTTATCTGAAAACATCTGAAATTAGCTAAAAAAATGCTAAAAAGCTAACTGAAAATTTAGAACAAGCTTAAATTAGCAGAAGAAAGCAGAAAAACACATTTGACCAATTATGCTGAAAGAAGGAGAAGTGAGCACAAAAAGTGGAAAATATCTGGGCCCCCCCCCCCCCACCGAAATTAGCAGCAATAAAAAAAACAGCTGAAACGTAGCTAAAACAGCAAGAAGCTGAAGTCACCAGAAGGAAAGTGGATTAAGCACAATTAGGCTGAAAAAAGTTGAAATTATTGCAAAGAATCTGGAATGAGCTGAAAAAGCTAAAATTAGCATTAAACAGCTAAACAGTAGCTGAAATGGCAGAAAAAGTTGAAACTTGCATAAACTTTCATATGCTGAAAGGAGCATAACAAGCTGGAATTAGCATAAAGACGTTATAAGCACAAAAATGTTGGAGTTGGCAGAAAGTATCTGAAAAGAGCAGAAAACAGCTGAAATTAACTGAAGGTAGCTGGAAAAAGTTTAAGTTTGCACAAGCTGAAAGAAGCTGAAGCAGAAGGAAATGTGAAAGGAGCAGTAAAAGGCTGTAAACACATCTAAAGATTTGAAGGAGGTAAAATGAGCTCAATTCATTTCTTATGAGAAAAAAATTGGCAGAAAAGCCAAAGTATTTCAAAAAGCTAAAACTGCACCAACACCACAAGTCATAGCACCCTTCTCCTGAATGAGCTGAACGTTTTTCGATTTACTGAAATAGCACAAAAATTGTGGAATGAGAAAGATGCAGAAAAACATACGGAAGAACATAGATCTCAATAGTGTGAATGCTTCATGAACGTTCACACAGTAACAGTGAAAGAACGGGATGAAAGGTGAAATAGGTCAAGTTGCTCAGAAGAAAAAACAAAGGTTAAATACACACATGGAGCACACAGGCAGTGAAATGTTGCCTCACTTTAGATGAGCGCAGATATGTGTTTCTTGAGGCTACGCTATCTCGCGAAACATCTCCAGCCCAGACTAAAGGAAGAGAGCGTGTATGCATAACTCCAGGCGTCCACAATTTGTCAGAACTTGTCATGTCTTGTTGCACATGTTGAACTCATTTCATGTCAGCGATTTCTCAGATTCAAAACGAGCCACTTTAATAAAGTCAGGCCTGTACCAGTCTCGATTCAAAGCACCTGCATCACCAACACCAAAAGTTTTTTAAGACATGTGGTCAGCCCTTTTATACATGACGTCATACGCTCAGAAGGTGTGAATGCAACATGCAGTGTTTCAGGCACAGTCTCTGAAATTAGCAGCTGATTTCTAACAAGAACATTAAAACAGATCCTTTGAAACTTACTGAATCCTACAAAACAAACTAAACTAACCTAATTTATCTATGAAGAATACAAGGTCGTAAACTAATCTTAGCAACAAATTGTTGATCAAATTTCAAAACTGATCTAAGTGTTTGAGACTAAAACATCATCATCATCAAGATTAATTATTTGACTTTAATCTAGTTTATTAGTCTAAGAAACCACAATAGTGACTAAGTTTGTAAACTCAATCATCCAGGTAGATAACAACAAAAAATGTTAAATTGTGTCATCCGGATCAAGTTCTTTAAAAGAGAAACATGTCGTCCCCCATCCAGAGGACTTCCTCCGTCTACGGCCTGCCAACCAGATCTGTCTCATAGATACCGTATTTTCCGCCGTACACGTCACTCCACCCTATATGTCGCATCAGTCCATATTTGTCTAATAAAGTGGAAAAATCCATAAATATGTCGCTTCAACGTATATGTCACATCTATTATACATCACTGCTGACGTGTTGCGTTTATTACGCGTCACCGCTGACAACCTGGAAATGTGGGCCGAACCTGGAAATGTGGGTCGGTGTTGTGTCAGAAATCAATGGGCCACCAAATGGCGACCGCGGGAGCGTACACAGCAGGACTTTAACAAGAATTTAACACAATTAAACCTTAAAAACAATTATTTGTTTGCTCGAAATTATAGTAAATGTGTGGATGACTGAGAAAACAAACTTTGTGTTTTTGAAACCATTAGTGAAAAGGCCAGACTTCAGGGGTATCTGAGGCAGGCTTGAAACACAAGAGTCAGGGTGGCTTCTGGGTAATACCAGATGGCTAGGCCTCAGACTGACGAACGTTTCTTTTTAACAAAAAAACGAAGTCCAGATGACATGATTCAACCTTTTTTGTTGTTATATACCTGGATGACTGAGAAAACAAACTTTGTGATAGTAAATGTGTGTTTCAGTCTAACGTTTGCTTAATAAATGTACTTTGGTGGTCAAATCAGCAGCATTTCAAAAGCCGATACGCGGAAGTAAATGTGTGCACGTGACGAGTCACTGTGCAAATTTAACAAGATAAACACCTAAAAACAATTATTTGTTTGCTCGAAATTATAGCAAAGGTGTGTCTCAGTATAACATTTGCTCAATAAATGCACTTTAATTGTCAAATTAGCTGCATTTTGCCGGGGCGGTGCAGCTGGTTTGACGGTTGCTCCAAGCAGTGAGCACAATGAAGGTGGGAAGCCTGTGGCAGGCCGATTGTATCATTAATAGCTGGTGAATATTCTCAGTCATCCAGGACATGGTAAATTAAAAAAAGTTCAAGAAAAAACAATAAAGTATAAAGTATAATAAATAAAGTCCAGTTGTTTTTGCCTTGAACTTTTTTTGAATTTGTCATTATAGCCATGTTTACCTATTACGTGATACAACGGCATACCATACAGCTACTACTACTCTGCTGCCATCAAGTGGCTGAAAGTGGTACTACTCAAATTGTTTTTCAGTCAGAATGAACGAAAATGGTCATATCTCAGCCAAAAATTGGTTTATAAATATGGGGAAAAAATCCATAAATACATCACTTTGTCCTATAAGTCACAGGGCATGTAAATTATGAAAAAAAAAACCTGTGACTTATAAGGCGGAAAATACGGTAGCTGCCCACTTCTGTGATTCAAACCAACCTCCTGTTGGCATCTCAAGGCTTTCAACACGTGCAAAACACACCCATCCAAAACAATCAGTTATCATTGGCTTGAAACACAGCAGTGAAGGCTACCTATGGGATAGATCTGGTTGGCAGGCTATAGACTGAGGAAGTCCTCTGGATAGGGAAACGTTTCTCACTTAAAGAAACTGGTCCAGATGACACGATTTAACCTTTTTTTTTGTTCACAATAGTGATTGATTTTCTAGAGAAAAACTCTGTTATTATGTACGGCGTGACGTTTCTTATTATTTAAAGTATTTTTGAATTGAATTGAATTGAATTGAATTTGCAGCATTTTTTTTTTTCATTTCTTACTCTGGAAACTGAGATAATTACACATCCAGTCTCAGTCAGACGGACGTCACAAATGCTATGCAGTTTTTGGAAAAACACAGTTTGAATTGTGTTCATCAAGATTTAGAGAAGCGAAAACTAAAAATAAGTAAATGAAATGAACCCTCATTTGTGCAGGAGTGACTGAACTTTCCTAGTAACAGTTCAAGCAGAACAAATCATATTTTAATACCCACAATTGACGCCTTCTAATTCTAAATTCCTACTTTAAGATAGAGAGGTTTGTTTAAACTTCTGTGGTTATTGTGAAGTATTTTCATTTTGATCAAATTCCTGTGAGTGGTAATTTCGGGGTGGCGTGTGTGTGGGTCTTTCCAACTGTTGGACGGTGTGAACCCACTCCATTTAACTGGGGTTAGGGGAGTGAGCCAACACAGTTGGAGGAAGTGGTGAAGCTTCAACTTCCTGTCATTCGCAGTGTTGAAATTGTGTCGGAAATGGCGTCTGCAGCCACCTGCAACTTGGCATCGTTTGCTTCATACTGTTGAAAAGGTGGAGCTTGTGGTTGATGTGATGTTCTGCTCATTGGGTAAATATATTGAATATGACAAGTTTTGGGGCTCATTTAGTCTTTTCCTCACATTTATGTTCTGACATCGCAATCAAATCACATCGACTATACAAAACAGAACATGGCAGGTTTGTGATGCCACTTGGAAGTGGAGGACTTTTAAACTAACTGCTCCAAACTCACACTGTTTAAAAAAAGAACAGGAAAGCGAGAGAAGCTGATTGCGAATGAACTGATTGTGAAAACATTTGCTGATGGAGGCAAAAGTTGGCCTGCTCCTATGAAACACTTCCTTCTCAGATAAGGTCAAAACAGACTTTTATTTTTAAACAAATGGCCAAAAAAAAAAAACCAGCACAGAAAATGTGCTAGATGTGAGCTGGTTCTGTGGCAGAATATTTTTACACATTGATATGAGCTCAGTTTAACATAATGTAATGTGAAAAGTAATTTTATTGCAAAATCACTCAACTTATTCAGCTAAAATTATTGTTGTGTAATCAGGATGTTTAACAGGAAATGTGCAACAATGTTCAGTCAGGTCAACTAGACGTTTTTTTTTTTTTGCTGAGACATTTCATCCTTCATCCAAAGGACTTCTTCAATCTGAGGAGCTGCCAAACAAATTGCGTTCCACAAGCAGCACACTCCCATTGTGGAAAAAAGCAGTTTGCTGGTGATAAGATGGCCTCTGGGGCCCGCCCTCTCCCCCATCAACTCCTCTAAGGCAGCCATGTGTAAGGCTGAGAAAGTGGTTCAAAACACCAAAGTTCATGCTCAAAAATCCAGGTATAAATTCAGCAATGTTCAGTCAGGTCTTGGCTGCCTTAAAATAGTTGACTGGGGAGAGGGCGGGCCCTGGAGGCCATCTTATCACCAGCAAACTGTTTTTTCCCCACTATAGGAGCATGCTCAGCGGTGTAGTCTACGTGATACTCGGGTATATGGAGTATACTCACTAGAAAAGCTTAAGAATTTTGGTATACCCATTTAAAAAAACCTAATGATACATGACATATCATCAGGCACGTGTCATTGGTACGTTAACTGGCAGTTAAACGCTTCCATAGCAATCTATCAGTATGCAACGCTTTGCTATTGATACTGTTCTATAAATTCAATAACACGTATTTAATACAAAGCCAACTGTTGTCCAAAGTTTGTTGTTAATTTATACAAATATAAACATCAGAGAAATCTGGAAATGTTCAATATGCTTAAAAATCAAAATAAATTGACGATTACATTGCACTAACCTGTGTACTTTGGTTTCTAAGCACAGTATACAGGTACGCACTACAAAATGTAGACTACACCACTGAGTGAGCTGTTTGTGGGACTCAGTTTGTTTGGTGGCTCCTCCGATTGAAGAAGTCCTTTGGATGAAGGACGAAACATCTCAGCTAAAAAAATTTAAAAAAAAGAAACCGTCCAGATGACCTGACTGAACATTGTTGGATTTTTATCTGGATTGTTGAGCATGAACTTTGGTACTGGAGATATGTTGATAATGCAAGGGCAACATCTGCTTTTACAGCTGTATATAGTTAAAATGTCACACTTTCATTTAACTGGAACATGTTTCTGTAAAGAAAAGCAGCTGCTGATGAGTGGAGATTGTCATCTGTGATGTAAAACGAGAGAACTACAAGCCTTCTCTTCTTGATCAGTAAGAACATGCTGCGTTAATGTTCCTGAGCTCGTATTCACTTCATGAAACCAAAAAGCTGTCTTTGTTTTTTCCATAAATCATAGACAAACAGCTCAAGCAGCATCTGCCAAGTCTATAATGTCCACCTTCTCAAATATGCAGCATGTTTACATATTTTATGTGGCAGATACATGAATGTTCATGAATAAATAAATGTACAACATACCTCACTGTTAGAAAAAAACATGATTAGGCAGAAACAAAGTGCTGAGGGGCGTGAAAACCACAAAGGATAACGGACACATCACAAAACAATACCTCGAATTTGCCAAAGTGCTTTTTAAAATGTTAGAGCTACGAGTTCCTCAGAGCTGATGAAGAGTTTAAAATCCAAAACCCCTCCTGATGATGAGTCATGGACAGTGTGTGGGATGACTAAAATGGTCCTTGACAACACTCAAAACAAAACATCTTCTCAAATAAAGTGTTTACGTCATCTGTTCCAAATGATGTTTAAATAATTTTAAATTCCATTTAAATCACTTTATCGAGATGTAAAACGTTCCCTTCACGAGGAGCGAGTTGAAAATGCAGAAACAGCTAATATATTTGTGTGGCTGTTGTGTAACTGCAGTTTCAAGCTAAAGCAGGTTCCACCCAGTCGGAAACAACACATAACTTACACCTTTTAATTTTAATTACATGGACATTCAAATTGTTGTTTTATTGCATTTCTATCTAATTAGCTTGTTTGACGGTATTTTTAATAAATCTAATAAGTTGTGCATCTCTTTTAGTGGACATAAGAAGTCTCAGATTTAGCTGAATATTTAAATAACATCATTGGTAAAATCAATTTGCTTTAGCTAAAAGTGTAACATTAAAAATACAGAAAAAGTCTTCAACAAACCCTTTTGGCACCTTATGTTCAGAGAAGAGCAGCTCGAGGTGTCTACCGTTAACTCAAGGAACAAAACTCAGTTTAAATTGACTTAACTCACCTTTTCAGATGTTTTAATCCTCTTTTCACCAGAAAGTTTCACAATAACACCCTTGGGGACATTAGCTTTATCCTAAAATGTTGCTGTTTTTTGTATCAAAACTGAACCCAGAGGTGGTGATCTTCACATGCAGGCAGATCTGGGTGTGTTGATGTGGATTGCATTTGACTTCTTCCTGCTCAATGCGGAAGTTCAGGTCTAGACCTGCCACTGCATTCCTGCTGAGAGCTTTCACAATACTCTTGTCAGGGCAACGCTGGACCGCCCTGCTCCTGGACCCTTCTGCCCCCTTATCTGCAACCGTCACTACAAAACTGCTTCACGAAGACAGAAACAGAAACCATGAGTCTGAGTGGGCTGCCGGTCCTGATAATGACTGAGGAACACTTGATCATGAAGCGTTTGGGAAACAGCTCAGTGAGCAGGTGAATCAACATGAGGACAGGACTCAGTTAATAATTCACCTCTCTGGAACTGATTTACAGATAATCTTATGTCAGCATTGGCAAGTCTGAGCAGTATTGAAGCTCCTTACAGAAATATACCTATATAATTTAAACAATGTGCTTCACATCTTTGTAGACAAGAATGAGTTTATTTAAAAACTTTTTTAGTTTTTTTTTGTATTTTCTTAAAGCAAGAGTTCAGATGGTCCAAAGTGTGGTTTTTTTTGAAGAATTATGAACAAATGCTGTCTTACCTGCAGTAGATAGATCTTTGAATGATCTTAATTTGGAGAAAAAGTGTTTTTCTGACCAGATTGATGAACTATTGGCTAGTTTGAGTGGTGACAAAACCAAAATGGCTTTATGCCTTTTTAAAAACAAATACTAAAAATGTCTAAATCAGGGGTGTCAAACCCACTTACAAAAGGGGGCCAAAATTAAAACATTTTTTAAGCTAAGGGCCAGTTTCAGAATCTACATTAAGTCAAGTTAGATACCAAACATATTTTCTTGGTTGCAGGTTCCTCAACAAAAGTTTGATTGGCCTCATTTGACGTTCTCTGATGCACTTTACACATCATAATCAAAGATTACTGAAAAAAATTCAAGCGATAAAAGTATTTTACATTTAAAATAACATCTTGGGGGCCAGATAAGATGTCAACGAGGGCCACTTTTGGCCCCCGGGCCTTGAGTTTGATACATTTGGTCTAAATGGTTTACTATTTAAAAAACATGTTCAAATTGTCAGTAATTCCACATTTTGTGGGATTTTATGATTACAGTAGTCCCTCGATTAACGCGGGGGTTACGTTCCAGAAACCACCGCGATAGATGAAAAACCGTGAAGTAGGAACACTATATTTATTTTAGTGTTTATATCTATTTTAAGGCATTATAAACCCTCTTGCAATGTTCTAAACTCTTAAACCTATGCCATTTTAACAACATATGTATATTTACTGTACAGTACTGCAAAATGTTATATGGGTACTCACCAGCTCTGCAAATCAGCAGCTCAGTTCTGGTTCAGCAGACATACCCTGCAGCGATGAAACCCAGGTTGATGTGCACGTGAATAATTGAGCTTCAGGAATCTTCAGGATTATTTGCGACTTTCCTGCCAGTTCTGTGAGTTTAATAGATATCATAGATTTGTGTTGCAAAACTTTCCCTTCATTTTGACAGAAAGCAGCAGCCGGAAGCACTATTGGCTTCTGGGTAGTGTAGTTCTTGTGTTTTGTGTTACAGTGTAAGCGTACTGAAAGAAAACTACAAAATAGCGGCGCCTGTCCGAAGTATTTATATTTTTGTTAACTTTTTATCTCATACTGTCCCAGTCACGTGAGTAATATTGAAGTGATGGATGGATGATGGATGGATGATGTATGTATGTATGTATGTACGTATGTATGTATGTACGTATGTATGTATGTAGGTATGTACATATGTACGTATGTACGTACGTACGTACGTATGTAGGTATGTACGTATGTACGTATGTACGTACGTATGTACGTACGTATGTATGTACAAAGTATGTATGTATGTATGTATGTATGTATGTATGTATGTATGTATGTATGTATGTATGTATGTATGTATGTATGTATGTATGTATGTATGTATGTATGGATGGATGTATGGATGGATGATGGATGGATGGATAAACTACTTTTTGTTTCTCTTGAAGATGTTGTAGGAACAATCCGTTTGGGTTTGGACCGTGTTCATATTAACCATTTACTCATCATTTTGACCAAATTTGTCCAAACTGAGGTCGATCAAAGAACTGTTTACAGCAGTGAAGATATTCCTCACCTCAAACTTTATGAATTAGAGCTTTAACCTTGCTGGATGAAGATTTAATTATTTATTTTATATTTTGATGTTCACAATCTTTACTTTTTGCACAGAGACAACAGATGCAGTGACTCTCAGACTGAGTAACCAGTTCCTGAACAGAAAGTAAAGGGGTGCATGTGTTACACTGAATAACTCCTGACAGTCCGTCAACATTTATACTCGGTACATACAGTTTCTTTCATCCATCCATCCATCCATCCATCCATTATCTTTACCCGTTTATTCCATTTTGGGTCACAGGGGTCGCCGGTGCCCATGTCCGGCAATCACTGTGCGAGGGGCGGGGTACACCCTGGATGGGTCGCAAGTCCATCACAGGGCCACATAGAGACAAACGAGACAAACAACAATTCACTTACTCACTGACACCTAGGGACAATTTAGAGTTACCAATCAGCCTAACATGCATGTTTTTGGTCTGTGGGAAGAAACCGGAGCACCCGGAGAAAACCCATGCATGCACGGAGAGAACATGCAAACTCCACCCAGAAAGGCCCCTGGACCGCGGTTTGAACCAAGGACCTGCTGGCTGAGAGGCAGCAGCTCTACCAGTTGCGCCACCGTGCTGCACCAGTTTCTTACAATGTTTCTCAAAACTACTCTTTTCTACAACAGGCAACTTAAGCTAATTATTCGTAATCTTTCCACAGAACCACGCTTCAAAAGCTCTGAACTATCCCTTAAATCAGAATGAAACATCTATAAACACCAGTATCTTGCAGCAGCGTTAATAAACCAAAAAGACTCGAGCTGTCCTGTTTTTAACCTCCTGTCTGACCGTGCAGACGCAGAAGAGCTCTGTTGGCATTTCTCCTTGAGAGGTCAGCAAACAAGATTTCACTTTTCTTTTCACAAACTTTAATCCTTCCACGTTCAGCAATTTATGTTTAAAAGCGCAAATTTCTCCTCTGCTTCAATTTTCCAGGAAATTGTTACTTTCCAATTGAATTAATAGTCTATAATTAGCTCTCCTGGGCTGTGTTCCCTTCAGACCTGCTCAGGTTTGATGAGGAACACAGACCACCCTCCCTGTGGCTGAACTCCATCATGTCAAGGTAAAGCTGAGCACCACGGGAGGAAAACAAATACCCTCAGATGCTTCCAAGAGCTTTTTGTGACATGTAATGAATTAAACACTTGGGGTGCAGCCTGGCATCTGTCTCAGCCCCCCTCATTTCCTCTTTTGTTGACAAACAGACAGACACCAAAGGCAGACTCACATAAAGCACGGTGGTGCCGTGGAGAATTTGTCATATAAATGCTCAGATTAATGGGCGAGGTGATTCGGTTGCTTTGACGCTGAGGGTGGTCTGAAAGTGTCGGTTCTGAAGGAGGTTATGGTGCAGCTCACATCACAGCTGGAAGCCCAGAAATGGATTTAAACTGTTGTGTTTTAGACATTTAATCAAACTGAGAACCTGAGGGGGCACATCAGGACCCCACGTGGTGTGAAGCTTTTTCATTGTGCACACAAGACACCAAATATACATACGTGTGTTATACGTGTTTTAAACGTGTGTTATACGTGACAGGCGTCACTGAGATGAACTGAAAAGTCATGGAGTGTTGCAGTGCCCTCTGTTTGTACTCACTGGGTGGTGTTCTAATGCTGCGTAATTAGTTTTTTTTGTGTGTCTGTGGTGCAGTAATCAGCTCTGTAAAATCACACCCATGAAACAGCTGGATCTGTTTGTGTTCTTACAGCCACTTTGTGCGTCTACACAACTCTACACAAGCTTAGCAGTTATTTCTAATCCACAAAACACACAACAAAAGAATTTTGTTGATTTTTGAACACGTTTTTCTGTTTATTATTAATTATAACTTGCTACCAAAAGGCAAAAGTTAGGTAATCATTTACCCCCCATGTTTGTGTTCATGTGTCTGTCTGTTGGCAAAATATTTCATGAACCACTGGATGGATTTTAATCAACATTTCAGAAATTGATTACAAGTTGAACGTTGAAAACTGATTAACTTTTGGAGTCAGTCCAGTTTAATATGGCTGCCACAACCAGCTGAACTGAGAAAACGCTACAATCTTTATAATTCAACCAATTTTACAAATATAGAGTTAAATTTCAGTGTGATAGTAGCTAAGCACGACACATTGAGCGAGCTATTTGCTTAAAAAGTTGTCATTAACTGTTGGAGTCAAACACTTTTGTCTGTTAACAAAATATCTCGGGAACCACTGAATGGATTTTCATGAAACTCTCAGAAATGTTTCATTGGATGAACATCTACAACTGATTAACTTTTCCAGTCAACCCAATTTAAGATGATCACCACAGCTAAAACCTATTTACCACAAAACTAACTTTAACTCTGTCACTTTTACAGATATCAGTCTCAATTTTCAAGGGGTCTTAGCTGAAGTTGTTTTACTTCCTCTGCTCTTTGACTTTGACGTAATCAATCACTTTTACTTGACTTCCTCCACATCAATCTCAGCTAACATTCCAGTGGATGCAGAGTGACATCCAGGAATGTTTAGAAAAGAGAAAGAGTGTGAGTTTCACATTCCTCTGCTGTGCGAGTCTCATCAACCAGCGTTTGACCTCTCCTGGCCTTATCGCTTAAAAAAGGGGGGAGTGCTCATGTTGACAAGGCCAGTGTGTAACTGGGACATTTTTGCTGAGCACCAGCTGTTTCTACATTCAGGGTCTGCAGAATGCACAGCCAGAAGGTTAAAAACGTCAACAGTGGGCAAAATAAAATGGCGAATCACACGTTGAATGTCTGTTTTATCTCACCACACTTAAACACATTTATTTATACAGTAGTGGCATTTTA